CCCCAAAACCCCAAAACCCCAAAACCCCAATAAATTTTAAATAATTGAAAGTCTTGGCAAATTCTAATAAAAGCTATTCTCATATCCTGCATCTTTAAAGTCGAGTTTATAATCGTAATGAGTCGCATTGTGGTTCAGATTAACAACTTCCATTTGCTTCAAGAGGTGAGAATTTATGATACCTTGGGATATTGCCTTGACCTCATTTTCATTTAACTCATTAGAAACTAAGTATAATCTCTTTAAATTTTTAAACAAGGATGGAGCTTCAAAATTAACTTGGACTTTTCTCTTTGAATTCTCATCAAAAGGAGCTTCGTTCCTTCTGATATCAATTACTTTTAATGAAGTGCCTATTGTTAGTAAGAATCTTACATTCATTCAAAATTGAATTTATCTGAGTTTTTGTAAAACTCCAATCAGGTAAGTAAACATAATCCTTTACACATGTTGAAATAGTCTTCTTGATTATATCAACCAGTTTATCATCAACTTTCTCAGTTCCTGTTTTTGAAAGCGACGCAAACAAAGTTAAACGGGTTACATTATCTGGGAAAGAATTTTGCAAAAATTTAGCTAAAATACACTCCCCTTCTTTATCAGTCTTAATAACGCTATCATGCACATGAATCTGAAGGTCATAAAGATTCGGTATCTGCTTTTCTGAAAGAAGTTTGATTCTACTCTCAATATTAGACTTCAACACCACAGTAGAATCGATGTCTGCAACTTTCTGTGTCTGAGTAGAGTCATTTCTATAATATATCATATGTCCTTCATCTTTCCGAACAACTGTTGTTAAATTTTTGTAGTCCCATTGGTCATGAAGTCCGGAGCTATTTCCCCTAGCCTTAGGTCTCACAATAAATCCACTCTTCTTTTCTTCTTCCGTATCTTCATAAACTTCTTCTTCAGCTATGACATGATGACTTGAGAAGGGATCTTGCTTCATTCCTCTGTGTATATTCTTCCGATTAGGACTCTAATGTAAACCGTAAGTTATTTCATAGAAATTCATAAGGGATTCTTACCTTCTTACTTTTTGAGGTGGAATTCTTCCCAAAAGATGTCTTAGTACCTTTGCCATCCGAAAGATTTCTTTCATATTCCATAAATTTATCTTTATACTGGGGAAGCAAGGACACAAAAGTATTTTCAGGGATTAAGGCTCTAGCTCTTTTAGAAGCAGATTCTATTTGAGATCGAATATTTTCAGAGATTTCTTTAATCAAGAACAGCCCGAAATCTGAAAAAATTTCATCTATTTTTGGGACCATTTCGTCCATACTGGATATTCCATCTTCAAAATCTTGATATTTAGCTTCAGGTAGGGGAGTCTTCAGAGTCTGAGTTAGCTTAGCAAACTATATTTAAAGTCTAAACATGTGATAAAGAATTTAAATAGATTCTATGGTCTCTGCTGAAAATATATTTGCATTCAATCAAAAAGATCATTATGGGATCAAGTTATTTCGGTTAAGCAGTGATAGTTAAATCTAAAATACCTGATTGATTAATTTTTGAATTTTCTGGTCATAAGCATCCTTAAAATCATCCCCTCCCAATTGGGTATCAAATATAAATGCTCTTGCACAGTGCAATGAAGCCAAGTAATCTCTAAGTGATGAATATTGATCACAAAATTGTGTTAAGACTATAACATAGACAATAAATTTACTCATATTTCTTCAGTGCTTTCCAATTAGAAGGTCAGCATCATTATCATATCCAATGACCTTAGGCTTGGTGTTTTTCTTGGATCTCTCTTCTGAGAGGAGGTCTTTATATTTCTTCTGTATTTTCATGTAGTTTTCTATAAGATAGCTAGATAGATTACCTTTGGAGAAGAGGCAAGGAATGGTGCCTTTAATAGTAAACTCCATTACATCTTTATTCACAATATCAGGAATCAATTCCATTTTATTTTTCAATAATATTTTTAATCTGAGGGGTTTTGGGGTTTTGGGGTTTTGGGG